TCACTTTCTGAAACAAATGAAAAAAATATCAATCTCCTTCACAATATACATTTTTTTCCAGCTGTTTTTGTATAAATAATAGATACGGCATGATGTTTATCTCCACTTAGACGTCTCACTGCAGCACAATGTTTACAGAAGTAAAAATGGACGTTTTTGGATCGATAAGTTGTTAAGCAATCAGAGCCGACAGTATTATTACAAGATCATAACAAGAAGAAGGAAGTGTCGGCTCTTTTTGCTTCAGCCACTGTTTACATCCGGATTTACCGCGTTTGGCTTCTTCTGGTGCCGAATTGTGACGCACGTCTCACATCGATGACGTAAAAGTTGGATAAAATGTGACTGCAGACACATGTCAGATACGTATCTGATTTAGTACCACATATTAAAGTCTCACAAATTGGATATTTTTCCAGGTGAAAAGATTGGAGTTGGACCGTTCAGACTGCTGTGAAAATATCAGATTCGAGTTGCATTTGGCTCCTGTGTGAACGTAAATGTAGGAAAAAACAAGCAGCTAAACATTGAACCACAGTAATAAAGTTTTGGTCGAGGTATGAAATATCTGCTTTTCCACGAACAAATGATATAGATTATTAAAAAAGAAAAAGGCATGTAATGGATTTTCTTCCTCAGCTGTGGATAAAAACATTAAGATGGCCGCTGAAAGCCTGTTGGAAAACAAACCAGCGTTAATGTGCCTCAAGTTAAAGGGACCCCTGTGGAGTTTCCCCGCAAACAAACAGCAGCTTCAGTCACATTCAGTCAAAATGCGTTCTGTTCAGTTGTGTTCAGCAGACGCGGTAATTAAACTCCTTTAAGACTTTCTTTCAGCTGCCTTTAAACCACAGAAATAACAGCCTGCAGAGCCACAATAAAAAACACAAATTCAGCACCGCATAATGCAGGAGATGATCTTTATCACTGCTTATAAAGTCATTGTAGGAATTTGATCTGTTTTTAAAAACAGAAGTGGGTAATATTAGACTTTAAAGTATAAAAACTTGTAGCATTAGGATTTTCATACTGCAGATAGAAACTCACAAATCAACAAACAAAACAGAAATCTCTGCAAAATACAGAATATTTCAGAATTTGTCAGTTTGAGGAGGTAATCTAAAAAACTTTGGGTTGTGTTTTTAATCATTAGAGACATGATAGTGCAAGAAAACATGATTAAATATCAATGAACTCTAAATTCTAATGAACATTTAACACCAGAAGGCATTTTAAATATTCAAAGTAAATAAACAAAAAAACAGAAACAACAATCACAATTAATTATGAAATGTCTGTAATCCAAATTGTCCTTCAAAAAGTTATGCAAAATTCACTTTTTGCTAGTTTAATGTCCATTTGGTCTTAACTGTTCTAGTGGTTTAAAAAAAACACCAGATTTTGGCAATATGTTTATGTTTTCTGGTGTTTCAAAATCCTCCCGATTATTGAGTCACATTCTATAGGCACTGCGCCGTTACCTAGCAACCCCAGCCAAGCCCAGCCCCGTTGCCTAGCAACACAAGCACATTTGGTCAGCTGGTATTAACAATGTATGTACTGTACAATGGCAGCTGGAAAAGATAAGTGCTTTGTTGTTAACTTACCATCCAGAAACCACTTGCTGCATTTTGTTGGCTGTGCAGGAGGCTCTACTTCTGCTTTTCAAAGATGTACAGTTGTATAATATTCCCGTCCGAGTGTAAATGTTGAGTTGAGCAGCAGATCATTTGGATCTAAGGTGGCACCAGGGTACTTTTATGGTCTAAACGCTCTAAACCTTCCCTTATAATCCGTGAAGTTGTATTAAAATCTACATTATTATGTAGAAAAATCATGACATTTTTCACCGCATCAGCCACACCTAGTCCATTCCTTCTCTGAGTTTTCAAACGTGTTTGTCTGCAGGAAATCCCTATGAAGTTTAATAGCACAGCAAACATTCAGACTGTACACACCTCAGTAAAACAGCTAATATTGATTATATGTCTTAGCTGCTGAATTTACAGCTATAAGGGACTCGGCACATTAATCTGTCAGTAGCTGTTATATTTTGCTGTAGATATTGTATCTTAAAAAATCCAGCCTTTTAGAAACATCCTGAGGAGTCCTTGAGAGACAACACAGCTGCTCCAGTGATTCATCCGTTCAGTAATTGTGGTTATTTCTCCAAGAGATGCACCGAATGATGAGCTCCATAAAACTGCTGTATGCATTAATCTGTTTGTGGGTTTAGGCTCCTTATTAGTCTGCAGAGATAAGCTTTAACTCATAAAGCTAAAGCTAAAGTAATTGTTTTAATTTGGCAAATAAATTCCAGTGTTTATCAGAAACTAAATGCATAGAGATTAACTTCCTGCCTACTGGCAGTCGATAAAGCAAATGAAGGCTAACGCGACTAAAAGCTCAGGAAGAGCTTTGTTTTAGCTCCGTTTTCACTGGAATGGTGATTATAGTTCACCTGCAAATCGTGGCGTATTTGTAGTTGCAACAGGTGCGTGGCGTTCCTGCGTCACCTTGCCGCTCGTTGGAAATCAGCAAAATGTAAAAGTGTCCTGTTTTAAATTCCTGAGGTTTTTGGGGGTTGGTCCGGGTCAGCGTTCCCAGCGCCGCGCCGACGGGCTTCACCAACAGCTGGGAGTCGAGTTTCCGCTGAACAATACAGCCTGAACGAGTTGAGGACTTCGTTCTGCTCCGGAGGGAAACCGCACTGCAAAAAACACAAAATCTCACCAACTGCTTTTGGTAGAGATGAAAAACTGAAAGTCTGGCGATTCAATTCCAGTTTTTAGGCTCATGATTTGTTTCAGAAGAGATTCAGATGTTTTAGATTCTCTGTAAATTTTGTGACCGACAAGATGAAAATACATTTATTTAAAACAATACTTAGGCCTGCCACAATAAGCAATAAATCAGTTAATCACATGATAAATTAAAATAAGCTCAATAGTTTCCATTTGCAGGATTTATTGTTGTTCTCTTTTCGCTGTTTTTATAAAAAAAAAACTGGATGACAACCAGACCCTTTTATGAAGGACAGTTTCGTTTACAGAGATTTCATAAACCCTTTTATGAAATGAACTATGTCATAAAATAAAATAATTTTATGAAAATATCTTTATTACGAAAAAATATTTTAAACTATAATTTTACAAAAAATTAAACGGATTAAAAGTCGATTTTTGAGCATTTTGAATTGATTCAGATTTTTTTCAGCACCACTCATTTTTGGTCTATTGCAAATATCTAATAAGTCAAAACTAACTTTCAAGTAACTTTTAAGCAAGATATACGTTTTTTAAGTAAATAATTCATTCATATTGATCAGATTATTTCACGTATAACATGGGAAACATATCTTGTTGTAAATGAAATGGTCTGCCAGTGGAACTAGAACTTTTTCATCAATATTAAGGAACGATTTACTTAAAACAAGCTCATATATGATGCCTAAAAGCTATTAGTAAGTTAGTTTTGTCTTATTTTAAATGTCCTAAGACATTTTCTCTAGAAATTAGACCAAAAATACTTGGTAGGATTTTGTGTTTTTGCAGTGCAGCCCCTGCAGTCGTGCATGTCTCCAGATTAACAACCATTCCTCTGGATTTTCCGTCTCAGCCTGGATTGTACAGTCATCTGGCAGCTCTTCATCACTCTTACCACTGCAGCACACACTGTAACCACGTTTCACTCAGTGGGGAACGTTCTCCTGTTTTATCATCATCTAATGTGACTTTAACGGGACTTTTATTACTTCAGTTCAAGATTTGCTCCAAGACTTTTGTTGTATTTTTTTTTTCTTTTAATAACAGTTGCCTTTATTGTATTTTGTGTGCAGTTTTTTTGTGTGTGTGGCTTATTTTCTGATCAGCAAATGTACAAACACCCATGAAAGAATATGTTTTATTGAATTATCAGTTGATTACAGTCATATCATAAGTTCAAATGGGACTGAATATGGAGATTGAGAAGATTTTACTACCTTAAAATGATCTTAAAGTTTTGTCTTGACAAAAGAAATTAGAGGGAAATTGTAGCAACGTGGCTTGATAACAAAATAAAAAATGAAATTAAACAGCGAGGACCTTTAACATTCACTAATTAACATCATATATCTTGCTTTGTGCAACGTACAAGGGACAAAAAGGTCAGGCTGACATTTTGTGTTGGTTTCTGTGTTATTTCAGCATAAAAGATGTTTCAACTCTGTTAAATTACTCTTCTGAAAATAAGTTGGAAAATATTCAAAACAATGTTGAAATCATGTTATAACTGAAAAAGATCCGACAATGGAAGTAGCATTTTTTAAAATCAAAATTCAAGAGTTACTTGTAAGTTTTGTCTTTTTTCAAGTGTACTAAGATATTTTCATTTGAAACTAGACAAAAAATACTTACAGCTTTTGTGAAATTTGCAAGATTGAAAAACCTTTAAAAGAGTTTTATATACATTTGTTCTTGATGCCTCAATTATTCCTTCTTTGTTTCACCTCCATGTAATCCTTCAGAGTCTCTTTGTGCATCTACAGTGGGCGAGTCAAACTCATTTTCGTTTTGGACCAAATCCAGATCATAAATGCTCTTAAAGGGCCGGTTGTGCCAGAACGTATTGATAAAACCTGATCACAAACTGTTCAAATATCAATCAATTCTTAAAGTTAAATAATATTATTGAACATCTTTTCAGTCCCTCCAGGATTTTTTTGCAATAAAAATCAAAGTGTTTGTTGCACTAATTTGGAAATATTTACACTTATTTATGACGGTAAATGCGACTTTTATTACTCGCTGTTTAGATCGTGGACTCTAATCTGACATCAATTAAGGCTGAGGCAGCTGTTTAGTAAAAGTAAAAAATTTTGACAATTTTTGAGAAAAATCTGCGATAAACTCCCAAAAAATGTATTGGTGCAAAAAATATNTTTTNATTTGTTGATTTTGCATGAATTTCCATGGTAATTCTCAAGAACCTGGAGGGACTGATTGATATAATTTGGCAGTAAACAAATAAAACCTGCATTGATTTGATTGATAACATAATATTTTATATCTACATAAAAAGCTACTGCGGGCCGTATTTGGCCCGCGGGCCTCGAGTTTGACCCATGTGGTCTACAGGATTTCTGAAGGTTTTTCTGTGAACTCTGGCTGCTTTTCACTCATCTTCAGCTGTCTGTGAATCCATCTAACTCTGACATTTTATTCGTTAAACGGTTCCTAAACTCAAAGTGAGAATCAGGGCTGTGTTAACAAATAGCCAGAGAATTGAATAGATATTTACATTTTGCTGCCAGTCTGCTGCCACACAGACACATTTATTAAGTAAATAGTGATTCAGTGTTATCTTTCTGCCCACACAATGTTATATCCAGCTAACTCTGACTGCCGCTGTCACAGTTTGTAGGACTTTGAGTTAAATTTATCTGATTTCTGTAATGTGGTTGGTTGTAATGCTCTGGATTTAACTGTGGTGTTTAGCTCTTTGTGCTTATTTATGTTACCATTCATCTTTGTGTTTCCTCACTACATCAGCCTAGCCTTTCCTTTTTTCAGTAATCACCTTCCTCTGTGTTTGCATTCAGTCATTGTCAGATCTACTTCTTCCTCATCGGTTTTCTTCTTTTTATTCACCTTTTGTGCTTCTTGCTGCTCTTTCCAAGTGATAAAAGTTGTAGAAATGATCAAATAACAAAATTCCTTAAACTGATGTTACACCATGTAGACACTCTGTCTGCAGTGATGAAGATTATCTCGCTTTGACATGCTAAAGTAGGGGAGTTTAAACTTTTTTAAATGAAATGATACTAATTTAGCAATTATCTATCAAATATAAAACCACTTAGAACTTGAGTGGGCCTTTATCATATCATTTATCGTGATAAATTTCTTATCATGATCAGAATTCTGATTTATTGTTGACACGATATGTTCAAATGTTCAAATGATATGTTTGAATGTTTAAAAAACAATAAGTGGGATTGTTAATTTAGCTTTTTTTTTCTTAAATCAGAGCATCAGTAAATATCAATATCTTTGAAAATATGATTAAATCCAGTTACAGTGTGATACAGATCACTAGTGTCCTAAAGAAGCGTATTGCACATGGATTAGATTTTTCAGAGCACTATTTTTGTTTTGGTAGCTATAATTGCTCTATAATGCTGTTACAGCCATAGAGTAATAAATAGCCACTTTTTTCATTATCATAACATACCACAAAATATTGTGATAAAACTTTGAGTCCATATCTTCCACCTCTACTTAGGGGAAACCATATTTAACACTCCTACGTTCGTCTCAGCTCCAGTAGATTCATGACGGACACATTCAGGTTCACTGTATTGATTGTAACAAAAGAGGAAATCCAGTTGGTGGTTAACATCAGTCCTATACATTAAATAAAATAGAACAAATAACCCTAAACAAACTACAAAGCAATAACTCCCAGTGAGCAGTTAATGGCATTTAACAGTTATAAAATTAAAGATAGCTAACATAACAGTTAGACATTTATAAAACACAGCAAAATTACTCATGAAACACTGTGTATTACTAAATTTGTATAAAATATATGTGACAGTATAATATTTGTAAACGAAACACTGAGCTGATCCTAATACATGCCACCGTTACCGACGGCAACAGAAAGAAAAGGGGGAGGAGCTGCCAGTTACCGGTTGCTATGGTAACCACCAACTGCCAAGAGCAGCACAACAGAACTGAACACACCAATAAATGTCTGGAGGAACAACGTGTTGACTAAACAAAATAAATTCAAACAAAAAATAAAGACATTTTGACTAACTTAACATCTACAGTATTGTTAAAAGTAAAACCTTGTTGCACTTAGACTAATTATAGAGCCCCAAACTTTCAGCCCAAGATGGTCAAATGATGAGTAAACATGAAACAAAGAAGTAGCCGAGCATACAGCCCACGTCTTGCATCCTAACACAAACTAACATGGCCACATCTCAAATGATACAAAATCCATGTTTTTTTCTAGTTTAATCACGCATAAAGCATATTTTTATGTGTAAAAATATGGCTTTCACATACTGAGACAGATGTATATTTTTAGGCCCAACACTTTTTCACTATTCTATTTGTTCAGATTTAATTTTTATAAGCATTTACTGAAAAATGATTCAGAGTCTGAAATGAGCATCAGAGTGTAAAAGCATTCAAGTATGAACAAATACTTTCAGAACAAATGTTGATCAGGACAAATTCAATAAAATATTTTACTTCATAGAAAGTAAAATATAATGAAATAAAGGATGGTTTCATAATTTGACATTGCATCAGATATATAAAAGGTAAACATAATTACTTACAGCTTCAGATATAATTTAAATAGCTTGTAAATTTAGATTCAGATGCAATCAGGTCTCATGCAAGAGCGAATACTTTGTTTCCAGTCATCTTCATTCAGTGTATTTTATCTTATTTGAGCTCTGATTCTGGCATGATTCTGCACATCTGGATGGAGAATAACACAAACTGCTCTATATTTTAACACTCCATCCCCTTAAAAACACGTTAGATTTACCCAGCGGTGTCCCAAGCAATTAAAAATACATCAGTGACGGTGCAGGGGTCAGTATGTTGCCTAAAAACTGTTTGGCTGAGACCCAGAACACTGAATTTCAAAACCAGAGTTTAAGACTCAAGAACAGTGAGTCTCTGTCTCTTCAGCTAAGGGAACATGATGAAATATTAAAATATCTATATTTTATTTTATATATTTTTTGAGAATTCAACCCAAATCATATTAAATATACTGAAACCCAGGTGTTCACTTCCTTATAATCAGGATTTTCTACTGCTTAGTTTTGAGTCCAACTCGTTTTTTCCATTTAAATTTTGCCTGTTTTTATTCACAGCCTCCACTTGTTTAGATCCATCCTTCCTCTAACCTTTTTTTATTTGCTGTCTAAATGTAAATCAGGAAGACAAAAAGAAAGAAAGAAGAAGAAACAAGTGTTCAAGCAAACTGAAGGTCATTTGATAATAAAAATAATTGAAAAGCTGCTGGCTTCTAATTAAAGCGAGCCGCACAGACGGGAATTTTGTCTCATCTTTCCTCCTGTTTTGGGAGGCGATTACTGCCTCCTCTTGGACTCAGGAGCAGCTCCTTAAAGAACTTCTAATTGTCTGATTTCAATTCTTTGTGAAGCGTTTTACTCCTTCGTGAATTCAGCTGCCAATTTTTCAAAGTGCTTTCTCGCAACGGTATTTCTGTCGCCTCCTTTCTTGTGCTTTTTGTTTTGCATTGTAGCACTCCTTTCCTTTAAATCATTCAGGTCAAGTGTCCTTGTAAAATCGTATCACAGGGAGCGTTTGAGCTGCACAGAATGTGTTTTTCTTTTTTTTTTTTTCTTTTTCTTTTAACACATCCAACGCGGTCCTGCTATCCGGGGAGAAAACGCTGCATGTTGTGGAAGCGTG